TAGAAAGCGCCCTTGGATGATTTAAAAATAAATACATACATGCATACATACATACATTGAATTTTATGATGCCTGTTATGAAAATAGAACATCAGAGGTGGATGTTGGTGTTATGGCAGTAGAAGCTGAATCTTCCCATCCATATTCTGTTACACTTCCTTTTTGCATGACAGAAGGAAGCAGAGGAGCAGTCTGACAGAACGGCATCTAACATGGAAGTGCACATAAAGCAAAGGTGTGTCACTGAATTCCCCCATATGGAAAAAATGGCAGCGGCCAGCAGTGACGATAGCAACTCAAAAGACAGTCTGCGTTCTGGGTGGCTATGCATAAATGTCACACCACAAAATGTAGAGCATCTTGATCAGCTCATCTACGTGAATCAGGAAATTATGATCTTGGAACTGTGTAAAGAGCTGAATATCAGCTTCAGTGCATTGGAAATATGGTGGCAATGCTGGAATACCACAAAGTTTGGGCTAGGTGGGACCCATGGATGTTCACACAGAAATAGAAAGAACACCTTATGCAAGTTTTTCAGGACCTGTTGAACAAATACAGGGCAATTTTCTAGATTACATCACTACTGGTGATGAGATGTGGGGTTACCACTAGGAGCCAGAGTCAAAACAGCAGTGCAAGGAATGGCAACATGTGAATTCCCTTTTGAAGAAAAAGCTTAAGATGCAAACCTCAGGGGGTAAATTAATATGCACTGTCTTTTGGAATAGGAAAGGGCTAATCCTTTTGGATCCCCTGGAATCTGGACAAACCATCATCTCTGACTGCTACACTGCGATGCTGACTAAGCTGAAAGCTTGAACTTCCAGAGTCAGCCCAGAGAAGAAGACCTTTCTCTTGCAAGATAATAATGCCAGGCACCATACCAGTGTGAAGACTGTGGATCACATTTCCAGTCTTGGCTGGACTGTGCTACCACACACATCATATAGTCTATATTTGGCACTTTCGACTTTCATCTCTTCAGCTGACTGTGTGTGCAGCATTGTACTAGCAGTGATGCCACCAAAGCACCTGTGAAACAGTGAGTCACCTCTCCTGGTGCAAATCTTTACAATTGCAGAATTCAAGCTCTTGTTCATCACAGGCATAAATGCGTAGCTAGTGGTGGTGACTATGTTGAAAAAGATTGTTTTGAAGCTTAGAATTGTTCTATCAAGTAGTGTTATTGTGCTCTTTGTATCTATTGCAGTTCCTATGGAAATAAATAGGAGGCATTACTTCTACAGCTACTTACGTGAAACAGTACAGAAGGCTATTAGCCATCTTCAAAGCTATTATTGTTTTTCTCAGATAAATAGCTTTTCTCAGATAAATAGCTGTTAGATAGAGTATGTTTGAATGTCAATGAATCAAGGTAACACCTTGATAGGGTATCCCAGTTGAGAAAATGTGAAGGGATAACATCATCAAAGTCATCTTGGAAACTTATCTAACACGTTATATAGTTCATATCAGCCTCATCCAGGACAGATGAAATACTCTTTGGTGGGGGACATCTCATTGATAATCCAACAAAATCTTCACAGAACCCCAGAATGGTTACCGTTGGAAGGACTTGTGGAGATCACCTGGTCCAACTCCTGCACAAGCAGGGCAGGGCCACCCAGAGCAGGCTTCCCAGGATGATGTACAAGTGGCTCTTGAAGATCTTCACAATTTCTCTGGCAGTGTTCAGTTGCCCACACAGTACAGATGTTTTTCCTGATGTTCAGACAGGATTTCTTGTGTCCCATTTTGTGGTCATTGCCTCTTGTCCCGGAACTAAGCACAACTGAAAAGAGCCCCAGTTTCATCCTCTTGGCACCCTCCCTTCAGGTATTTATAGACATAGGTGAGATTCCCCCCTGATTCTTCCATTTTCCAGGCTGAGTCCCAGTTCCGTCAGCCTTTTCTCAAAGGAACAGTACTCCACAACGTTGGTGGTCCCCTGCTGGATTCTTTCCATATGTCCTCGTCTCCCTGGGGCCCAGATCTGGACAAAGTGCTCCATGAATGGCTTCACCAGTGCTGAGAGGATCACCTCTCTTGTCATGCTGTTGATACTGTACCAGGTGCAGTTAAAAATACCATTAGCCTTTTTAGTAGCAAAAGCACATTGCTTGCTCATAGTCTTCATATGTATGTTCATGTCATCCAGTACTTCTAGGTCCTTTTCCACAATGACTTCTCATGAGACTGTTTTTATTTAATAAGGTAATGAAATATAAAACTGTATATAACCCATAGGTAAAAACAAATAGGCACCAAGCACAGTGGACTTGCTTGGTAGAATGCAAAATTAAAAATGGTTCTGATAAATTTTAGGAATGAACAGAAACTAATAAAATAGCACTCCACACAGATTTGTGAAAAGCAAAAGATGCAAAAAATGAAGAGTAACAAACTAGTGGATTAAAAACTGAATATGGTTTAAATTATGGTGTTGATAGAAAACAAAGAATCATAATTCTGGGACGTACTAACGAAAGTGTAATACATGCAGGGTACAGGAAGTGGCAATTTCCTTTTTTCATGGCAGAATGAAAGTCACAGTGGGATAATTATGTAATTTGGAGTGCTGTGCTTGAAGAAGGCTGTAGATAAATTGGACAGAGGCCAAAAGCAAGCACCAAGTATGTAAGTGGTATGAAAAACACGACCCATGAAGAGAGGTTGAAATGGTTTGTTTAATCTAGAAAATGGGTTGGAGAAACTGGTTGGAGAAAAAATAGTATGTGAATAGATAAAATGGTGGTAAAAAGAGTGGAAATTTTTTTTATTCAAATGTTGAGTTGTACAAGCCTATTAAGAGACTGAACCTGACGTGCAGAATGTAAAATTTGAATTTATATAAGTATATAGTAGACTAATAAATTCAGCTAGCCCTGAACATGACTAGAGATTTCTCTGATGCAAGTGCCAAATAAATGTATCCAAGAATTATTTTAGAATGGAAAATACTGATAGTTAGCATAGGAACTGGAGAATAAAGACAGTTATTATTAATGAGATCCAGGTGTTACTGAACATGAAGACCAATACTCCTTTTTCATCAAATATTCAGATGACTAAGAATTAATATAATTTTTTAAATGGTTAATGATATTAGAAAGTGCCTGATAATAGAAAATAAAGTTGGATGGCATGACCATAAGTAGACTCTACATTGAATAGGTGAGTAAGTATACAAAACAAAACTCTTGATTTCAAAGGGACACATTTTGATAAACTAAGGAAATTCTCAGCTGGACAGATAATCTCGGGCGCTTACAGATTCCATGACACAGAATTTTTTTCTACAAATGCTGAGAACTTTATCAGGAATCTGCATCATATAAGAGGAGGAAAAAAAATGTGTAGAAGAGGCTTCAGATATAACTGGATGACTAACTATATTTCAACAATATATCTGGAGCAAGCAGACATTTTTGAAAATAAGGGGAAAAGGTATTGAGAAGCAAAGAAGTATCTCCAAGATCAAGAAGTAAAGAGTAATTAATAATTAATGTTGAAGAGAGGCTGGAAAAAATTATTGGCATGGATAATCCTTGAAATCTGTCTTGCTTAATACTGTTTTGATAACTTGGCATAAAATACAGAGCCTTTCTAGTGAAATCTGACAATAGGAAAAAACTGGAAGACATTTAGAGGAGAGAATGGAGATATCATACAAGGAAAGCTACATCATTTTGAAATCTTAAATAATACATGTAGGATAAAATTGAATACATAGACTGTTTAAGTCTTTTGCTTCGGTAATAATAACAAAACTTCCTAACAGAAACTAGGAAATCTACATTTGGAATTGTCTGTGGAAAAGAAGAAAGTAGACATATGAATCAATTAGGAGCTTCTAATGGGGCACAGCTGTGAATAAAGCAAATGTTGTTCTGTGTCATATCAAAAGAGATACTTCTAACAGATAAAGGGAAGAGCTAGAGCTAGTACAAAGACATGAGAACAATGTCTGTGTATGACTAGGTGCAATTTTAATTATCACTTCCCAAGGAAACACAATTAAAACTTAGAAGGACAGAGGTTAGTAGAGAGAAATAGAATATTTTACAAGCAAAATTAGGAAGGCTTTGGTTTATTAGAGTAGCAAGACAATAGCTGAGAAGGGATACAATGGTTGATTGTAAATACATCTGAGAAATAAATAATAATTAGAGGAAATAAGTATTTAATTTAAATAATAATACTGGCACCAAAACAAAGAGACATAAATCAACCAGGAGTGTGAACAGAAATCAGAGATACTAATAATTAAAGCAAAGAAGTATTTGAACTGCCTTCCACTGAGAAGAATGGGGACAAAAAACTAACTGCTTTTAATGCACACAGTATGCTTGGAGAAGGGGTGTTGGTAACAATTTCATGGTCTAAGAAGAATTTTCCATAGTAATTTTTCCGTATTGTTATTTTAAAAAATCTTGACCTTTTAAATCTATTTCCACAGAGATAGGACATGAAATGTTCGGTTTTATTTGGGTGTTAGAGAACAAATGTGAACTTTCTATTATGATACTAAAGCACTGGAGCAAATTTGCGAAGAAATTTTTCAAGAACCTCTTGAGCAAATATTTGGTATGGCTTGTCTGGGTACACTTGGACAGGCTTACAGGAGTGAGCCTTTTGAGGTCCCTTCCAATCCTGAATTTCTATGAAATATGTCAGCTCATATTGTTCCACACTTTGCCTTAGCAAAACAGCTAAAACCCCAAGCTATTTCAAAGAAAGTAATTGAGTAGTTTACACTCTGTAACTTTTGGATATATTTGCAGTGATACGTTATTTATTATTTTTGCAGCTAAGAAATTAATAAAGCAAATTCTGTTCTCAGCAGGAGATAAGAAGCTTTTAGTTTTTGTATTCAAATAGGCTAGTATACATAAAACAAAATACTATCATTTTATTTACTTTTTTCTGGCAGAGAAAATGCCAGTTTGATGTGAGCTCCATTGTAAAATACTTTTCTCCTCTGAATTTCCTCCCAGAGTGGCAACAGGATTCTGTGTTCCATCATCTTGGACCACTACCAAGGACCATCAATAATAAACTACGATGATGAGAACGGCAAAACTTGTATGCACATTGCTGCTGCTGCAGGCTACAGTGATATTATCAGCCAGCTGGCGAAAGTCCCGGAGTGCAACCTGCAGGCCCTTGATGTAGATGACAGGTAACCATGGAAACCCTGAAACTGAAATTGCTGCTTCCTTTCTATTAACCTGAGACTAGGTCTGTTTATTCTATAATCATGTTTCCTGTTTCACGGGCCATGGCCTAGTTAATGAACTGCACTTACAGAGAATTGTGTTTGCTCAGAAGCCCTGCAAAGCAGTCCAACTCACATCTATCACATTGAATACAACAACTGGCTACTACAAATGTTTTTTAACTTTGTGTTTCTGGTAGGAAATGATAAGATTATGTATGAAAGGACTTTGTCACCACTTGACTTAACTTCTTTCAGTCAAAATGGACATTCTTCTCAAAACAATGGAACAGGATCCTGCTGCTTGGAGCTGTGATCTGCTGCTATTTGCATTCAAGAAATGTCAATATTTCCTTGTTACAGTTCAGATGCTAACAGAGTATTCTTAAAAGATACCACCAGGAATCCCTCCCCTTCCATTCTCACTCAATCCTTACCATGATTAAACCGCTTGTATCATAAACCCCTGTATCAAACCATGCTGGCCTCCCTTTGCTTCCAATTTCATTAATGCAAACAGACTCAATTGACCACTCTGGGTTGACTATCCTGCTCTGTGGAGCAAAAGCCAAAGTTTTCTTGGCTTAGGTCTTCAGGTACTTAAAATAATGGCATTCTTTATGGAAAAGTCCAATGAAATGGAACAGAAATAAAATCAACACAGTTCTGTAGACATTTCTAAACATCAGAAAAATGTAAGAGAGAAGGTTCTGTTCCTATGAAAAGAGGATGGGAGGAGCTTAACTACACCTAAGAGTTTTTTAGTTTTAAAAAAAAACTCCTATTAAGTGTCTTTAGCTACTTCCACAGAAGGTATCACTCTTGGAGATGGGAAAAGATAAGCTGTTAACTATAAATACACAGTATATTTCTATTCTATTATGTTTCCTACTGCATTCAATGGGAATCACTGGGACTCCAACAGGCATAGAAAAGTCACCTTTATTCTTTCACCTTGTAGTTTTCTTGTGGTGCTTCTGTGCTTTTAGAAATTTTACAAGTGTGTAATACTACAATTCTGAAACTGGACAGAAGTTTCCAATGGTGTGCAAACCTTTGCCAACAAGAAAATCAACTTGACTCTCCCACCAAATTCAAGACAACTATATCTGGTTCAGCCTGTGCCCAACAAAGAGCACAGAAATTGTCAAAAGGGTAATTACAGCCTGATAGATGTCCAGGTCTTCTCACTGTCCTAGGGAGGCTTCTTCTGCTATTACCTTCCTGGAGAGTCATAAGCCAGCCACTGTTAACTGTGTTCAGTGTAAGAGTGAGAAGGGCTTGTCCCTGTGCAGTGCACAGCACAAAGAGTTCTTTCAAATTCTGCTCTGAAAACTTCAGGTGCTCCTTCTACTCTACAACCCCAGAAATGAAACTGATGCTATTACATACCACATATCGGCATCCACCAGCCTCATATCTACCTTTACTACAGCTAAATAAATGCATGAAGACAGATGCTGGTCTCTGGTTTTACTCCTTTTACTGGGAGCTACATCAGTGGGGGATAAATTAGTGTGAACTGCTTAAGATGGTTGTTGTGCATCCAGATGAGTAGTATAGAAACACGCCTCACTGTGTCATTAATAGCTTCAACAGTGTATTTATTAATCTGTTTTAATGATATTCACTTTTCCCTAGGACACCTTTGCACTGGGCTGCAGCAGCAGGGAAAGCTGACTGTGTGCAGACACTTCTAGAGCTGGGGATAGACAGCAGCCCTCGAGACATCAATGAAAACACTCCTCTGACATATGCAATGTACTGTGGCCACACTGCATGCATTAAGCTGCTGTCTCAGGAGAACAGGTAAAGCAGAAGCTCACATCTTCCTCGCATGTTATTACTGACTAGAAAAGAAATTAATAGTTTTCATTAGTATTATAAGTATTAGCAATTATAAGTATTATTTCTGTATGCTACTGAAGGGATTGAGCCCTATGTGATGGTTCAATTCACATGCAATACATAACCCAAATTTTCCACCAAAATAGCAACACTAAAATTAGTCATCTTCTGAAGATTCATCTCTGCGGTTACAGTGCTAGTCTGCCAGTCAGCAGAGGGTTCTGAACCAAGAAAATGTGGGTATAGATGTTTCTCGGTCACCTTTGTGCATGAAATCTATAGTTTCAAAGTTTTAGACACACACTTTCCACATTTTTGAGATCTATATATGTTAGCTGCGTATTCATATAATACAAACAAAAAAGCAGCTTTGCCAGACAGCTAGTGAAATAAATTTCATGTTTTCATCCTCAGAATAAAGGCTTCCAAACAATTTCCTAGCCTGCCTTCCTTAGTTGCCTACTTCAACTATCTCTATCTCTTTTTAACCAGTTTCCTCTTTTTTTTTTTTTTTTTTTGCTATTAAAAAGTATAATTCTTCTGCCATTGCTTATATTTTCCTCTCTCTTCATATTTCTCAGGTTTCAACTGCTGTCATTTAATTCATTTCAGTTCTTCAATGTTGGCAAATGAGCACATACTTACAAAGACACTTATTATCACATTTCTTTGTGCTTGCCCCTCCTTTCCAGTCAGCTGTCAGTATTATTTCCTGTGTTATGGAATGGTGAGACATGGGTAATGTTACATCTCCTCCTCCTCCTCCTCCTGTTGTGCTGTGCTCTGCTTGTCTGAGTAGGCCTGCAAAGTTTATTTGTCAAAATCTCATCTAAAAATCACTACAGCAACACCATTGTAGGTAATTATCCTGACAGGTCTTCTGGAATTGTGCTGGGCCTGTTCAGTACATGGGTTAGCAACTTCAAAAAATAATGATAGTAAAAGCAAGGCAAGGCAAGGAAAAGAAATGAAAAGAAAGGAAAAGAAAAGAAAAGAATGTGAAGTAGTGTCTTTTTCACAGTGTTAGCAATGACTGTGCTGCTGGAAATCATATTTTCTGAATATGATGTAATACACTGACCACTTGGTTTTAAAGATCCCAGGGTGTTCTTCTAATTGTTGGATCTTGCTTCACTACTAAGAACAATAAGTTTGCAGCTGGTAGATGCTGAAGCCAGAAAAGTTTGTTTTTATTCCTGACAGCTATGCTGAGCCTGCTTTAAGATAAGGGTAAGGCAACAAACCCCATTAGAGTGAAGAAATGTACTATCATCATCACTCTTTGTTAACTGTGAATTTGTAATCCTCATTTTCTGCCTCCTTGAACCACCCCTAGAAATGTATGTGAACTGTATGTGCCCCATCTCATAGGCTAACAAAGGCAGTATTTGATTAATTATTTGGTGAGTAATGGCATCATATTTTGATTTGTACTTTCAGTATATCTGAGTTAGTTCATCAGTTTCCCTCTCAGAACAATAAAATACTTAAGAAAGAAGGAAGATTCAGTATGTTGAACCACATCTTCTGCAAAAAGAAGAAAGAAAACCAGAAAACCATTCAGAAAGACAAGAGCAGAGACCGATATGCTACAGAGGAGACCTCTGAAGTAGACGACATCATCACCACTTTTGATTGTATTATGGATACAAGCTGCAAAGACATTCCAGATGAATGTGCGACCACTACTGACTTTAAAAGAAGGACCACAGACACAAAGTACTTCATACCAGAAAAGAAGCCAGCAGAATGTCATGGACTTCTGCCCGTCAGAACCCAGAGCCTCCCCCCAATCACTGCCAATAATTCCTTCCTAACTGCTGTCCAGAGCACATCAAGCATGTCCTCCAGCACCAGCACCCACCATTTTGCACACAAGTCTCAAAAGAGTAGGAGTGAACATGACTTGCTGGATCACAGAAGCAGCTGCCAGGCTTTGCTGGATAAGCCTTGGAATACAAAATCTAATCAAATACTCTCCTATAAAGCCTGTACTAGAACTCCTTCAGACAAAGAGATAAATGGCTTAAACTCTGATAGATCTCACCATGTGCTTTTGTGCCCTCCCCACCTTCCCTCACTTCCTACTTCTCCATCAGGTAATTTCCTTCTTCTATCTCTCTCTTATCATATAATTCCTACTGATACGGAAAGCTGAGATAGAAAAAAATAGGTAAGTCATCCTTATGACAATTCTACTTATTTAATATATTTTTCAGTTTCTTCTCCTTGTACATGCAGTAAATGGATTCAGTGGTCCTTCTGGGTTCCTTTCATCTTGGGATACTCCATGATTTTAAGCAGTCTCAACTGCAGATAACATATGTACAGAATATCAGGTGACAGCTAAAAGCAAGAAGCTTAGGTATAGGAAATCAGAGATCTGAATAGATATCAGAGTTCTAGTTATGAGAATCAGAATCTGATTATGCCTAACAGCAAAAATCCAAGTCATTAAGAAACATGTAAGGTACCCGAGCAAGATAAGTGCCTGCAGATCACATACATGTTTTGTGAATTGCAAGTTAATACGTGCTGGCCCGCACGTTGCTTTGTGTCCGCATTTAACCCTGGAACTGGATATGCAAGGGAGCTGAGCTGTATTTGAATCTCTAATTGTGCCAGGAGCTGCTTCTCAATCCAAACAGGTAAACCCATATGTGCCATGCTGGGCAACTTCGCCGTGTGCCCATTTCCTCCTACAGGCATGTGCTAACTCCTGGGCACACCCCTTTCCATTCCCCCAGTCCTGAGAGCCCATTGGTTTAGTCTGCTGTGCTTAGGTTTCCTCATGGCTGAATTCAGGTTGCTAAATTTACAGGGAGAGTAAATGCTTTTTATACTGTGGTTTGGAAATGATAATGTAGCAGAGAAACAGAGTATCAGAATTCTGAAGGAAGCTTGAAACTGGGGTTTGGGATTTAGTACTTTGACTCATTGCATGTTTGAATGAATCTTGCTGTATGGCCTATGTGCACTGGAGTTCACTTCAACATATCAGTTTCTTGAACTTCATTTCCTTTGAGATTAGTCACATGCCAAAAATTAAACACATCAAGCATGCCTTCCAACCACTGTAATATCCAGCTGAAAATGAAGCAAGTAAGAGCAGCTGCCAAAATTACCAGTACATCATTACAAGGAGTAAACATTACACAACAAATTAATCTAACCTCCTCTCAGCAAACATGCTGAGAACAGAACAGAAACTCATTCTGAGAGGAACCCATCAGGCAACCATCAAGCTCTGTATGGCACAGCAAACTGTGCTAACTTATAAGTGGAGAGACTGGTAGAATTGCAAATCTGGATTCAATTTCCAATAGTAAGAGAAGATAAGGCAACTTCAGGACTTCAGGTGATTTTACATTGTGCAAATCAAGGCTGGAAATAGTTTTCCAGCATAAAAAGGAGCTATTCAAAAAGTTCCACTTCCTGAACATCAGGCCAAGTTCCTGAAAACTAAACAGAACCTGGTTTATAGGCATAACTACTTTTTTACTGTGCATTCTTCAGCTGTTCACTCAGCCATACAAACCCCAACCTCCACATGGCTGTCAAGGAATGTTCCAGCATAATTCATCTTACGCTGAGGTCCGCAAGTTTCAGCTCACATGTAGAAGACAAGAAGACCTGCAGGGCTACCTTACAACCTAAATATAATGAAACATTTGTGTGTTCAGCAGGAGGAGGAATGAGCTTAAAGTGAATAAACTAAACCAGAGGATGATTATGGGGAACATTTCTTGATGAAATCAGTTAGACTATGAATCCATTTCATGGGGAAATACCTACCATGGTATTTAATACACAATTACAGATTTTTCTTATGACTGTAGAATATCACATAAATCCTTGCTTGTGGACAGAAGGACAGGTGATCTTCTATGAATGTGCTATTACAAAAAAAACACAGGCAAATGACTGAGAAAATACTCAGGGCTTCATGCTTTGCACTATGATTCAGTAGAGGAAAAGCAGTCTGTATGCATGAATGAGAGCAAAAATCTATCAATTACCTTCTAATTATTACAATGGGAGTTGTTTTTCTATGTCCAAAGAAAGAACAGACCTCTGGCAGTTTATTATCTGCTTCTGAAGAAAAAAAGCCTGAGACTGCTGCAACCTCAGTACTCTGTGTAACCTGCTCTCTTTAGCAAAACTCCAACAATGAAAAGATTCTTACAGGCAGCATGAAGGGCTTCCATTGAAGCAAGCGCAACAAGAGCATGTAAGGAGGCAGAGAACGTTTGGCAGGTGTGCATTGCACAACCCAGATATTGGCTGAATTTTTTTTCAGAATAAAAAGAACAGCTTACCCTTTTTCATGCTTGTGTGTGGTTTAAATCTGCCTGCCCCTGTAATTAAAACTACCTCCCTTGCTGTGAATTAGAGCTATAAGGGCCTTTATGACCTTCAGGGCCTCCAGGTTTCTAGTATACCCATAAGTGCTGTGCCTGCATGGATTGCAGAGATCAGGAATAGAGTAAGCCTGGCTCCCACCCATCTTGCAGTGCTGTGCAGGCAGCTCTCCCAGAAAGACATTTCCTCATTGCTTTTTTACTGCAGGAGGCCTAGCTGAAGGGAAAAACAACATCTGGTCTTTGATGGACGCTGAACTCTTAATACTCTGTTTCTCAAGACTGTGGTGGCTCCACATAGTCTTCAAATCATGGAATATCCAGAACAGGATCATGGGCATCAATAATCTAAAAGAACTCAATTTAAAAATTATTTTTTCTGTGTGTCAACTGTCTTGTATGACCATGCCATAAAGTCAGAGCTCTTTCTTGGGCATATTGCTACTAAGGCACTTGACACATAGATGGGGATACTAGAGGCTTTTTGTTCTCTTTTCTGTGCTGCTGGAAAGGACAGAGGAGTCAATTTACTAGCTGAGTAGCTGAGTCCTGACACTTATTCAAAGGAGAGGTTGTTGCGGGTAGGAGTGAGACTTACCTATCATGGTTTGTCTTACTATCTGCTGAGGAGAACAAAGACGAATTGTACCAAAAACTACTGCCAATATTGGAAGAGGACATTGTAAATCACATGGCTGAGCTGGCATCCACTATCTGAAGCATTTTGTACTTATGAGGATTGCAGTTATCTCCTTTTGCAAAACGCACTACCATCTACATTTATTGGAAAAATTGTATAAATGAAGATATTCCAAGTGACAGGGACAAAAGAAGGCATCTTAAAAAAACAAACAAAAACAGGATAATGTGGTTCATTTATCCAAACAAAAAGGAAAATTAAAGAACAACCTGTGAAGAATTTTGCATTTTGTAATCAAGAAATAACCTCCTTTCCATTTCAAATGCCATTATAAATATGTACTTACAGTGACAAAGACAATGTCTAAAGAAGGAAAAGCTTTTGTTCTCAGATATCATTTAGACCATAGGAAGGAAGAGCAGAAGAATAGTTCCTCTTGATGCCAGAACTTGTAGACAGGGTTTCTTTTCCAAATGTTCTTATCAGTCTTGCAAACATAATTATGCTTTGTACTTTTGTTTTGCTGCCAGATATCCCTGTTTATGAAATAAACATATTCCTTTACAGGAAAAAACAACTTCCCCCTTATCAAGGCCATTATGGTACATAAATAAAAAACTATTAGTTCTCAGAGTAAGCATCACAATAAAACCAGTATAACTTGAATTGCCAATGGGAGCAGCTGACTTGAGTTTCTGCTCTCTATGTATTTATTTGTTTGTGCACAGAGGACAGAGTTTGTATAAAAGACATTTACTAATTTTTACACACGTGGCAATTGTCTTGAAGAGTGCAACTAAAGAATAAAACATGAGAAAAGGAGAACAAAGACTGTGCGTGTTAGACACTGGTCATCTATAATACTTACTTTTTTCATGCATTAGCCCAACATACATTAGCTTTACACTTAGGAGCCAATGGAGTGATCCAGTGTCTATCAGCTGCCACTTTGGACCAGAATCTTGACCCACTCCAAGCTGAAGACTGCACTGTTATATGGCAGTTTTGACTGGTAAACACAGTATTAGCTCTTTTCACGCAGAAACTGTTTAGCTAGTAACACAGTGGTTTTCACAGTTACTTCGGTGCACCTCTAGGAAACTGTTCTGTAATTGTTTTTCTGTAGATTTATCTTGCACAACCCAGTAGTGCATACATATATTTAAGTGCCAGCTACAAAGTCATCAGGGCAATTTACATCATTTCATCTTTGCTGTTTCGTAAGTGTTGTTCTAGATCCACTTATCTCTGCATACCAACAAAGCATATGCTTGTTCTGCAGCGAGCTGTGTTGCAGTGCTATGCAGTGATTTGCCAAGACAGCCTGAGACTCCTTACAAGACTCACTTTAGATTTAGGAATAACAAACAGTAAAATTTTGAGAGACTCAGACATCACAGAATATGATCAAGACAGGGAAAGGATGTGGGAAAAATGTTGACTTGGAGGTTGATTTCCTACTTCTTTTTTTTTTATTATTATATTTGAAGTGGTATTTATAAAGTGAAATGCACAATATCACTTAATATATTGTATTTTCCTTTGGTACTACACCAGAGTTGTAATCATAACCAGTAAAAAAAGCACAACTAGACATTTTCATTTCCTAGCATCTATTTTTCTTGATAAAAACAGATTGCTATAAAGCATTGTTTAATAAGAATCTGTATCCATTTATGGCAGTTCTATTATATTTCACCTGCAGCAAAACCTTCTCAAAGCTCATCTTTACTACTGGTAGACTACCACTAGCCTGACTTTCCAACTAGGAGTTGAACTCCATTTGTATAGGGCTGGTTGGGTTGGAATGGACTTCAAAGATATTCCAGTTCCAGCAGCCCTCCTGCAGGCAGGGCTGCTCCCCACCACCTCAGGCTGCCCAGAGCCCCATGCAGCCTGTCCTCGAGCACCTCCAGGGATGGGGCACCCACAGCTTCTCTGGGCAGCCTCTGCCAGGGCCTTATCACGGTATGAGTAAAAAAATTCCTCCTAACACCTAATCTAAATCTCCTCTCCTTTTGTTTAAAAACACTCCCCCTTATCAATCTCTATCTGCCTGTGTAAAAAATCACTTTATCTATTTTCCAAATATCGTTATGTAGATCTGGCTACTGGAATGTAGCTGTTTGAACAGCAATTACTGTATTACACAAAAGTGAGGGAAAAGCTTATAAAAGGTACGAAATCAGTCATAATTTAAATGTGTAAAGAGCTATTTTTTGTTGATTTCCTATTATTACGTATTTTTGAGAAATACTAGATGTTAGGTTTTTTTCCAGAAACCAAGATCTGCTGTGTATCTTATTGCTTACAATTATTTTCACAAAATAGTAAATTATATTTTTCTTCCACAGGTAAAAATTTTCAGAAGATATCCACAGACCAACCCAAAATAAAAGAACTTACTCCTGTGAGGAGCAGCCTGGCTCCTATACCCAATCACTGTGCTCATATATGTAAGTACAAGCAAACCTTCACTACAGTATCATGCTGCGTGCCTCCATAACTGGCACCTGAGGGTTTGAGGGAGCTCACGTGTTCCCCTTCTTCACAGCAACACAGAATGGGTGGTCTCAAAGGCACTACTGGATGATCCCTGCTCACAGCAGTGTTATCTATAGTAGATTGCTCTGGACAACAGAGTTAGGTTTTGATTATCTCCAATGATTGGACTGCACAATCTCTCTGGGCAACCTTTTCAAGTGTTTGACCACCCTCAGAGTAAAAGTTTCTTCTTCTGTTTAAATAGAATTTCCTGTATTTAAATTTGTGTTCCCTCAGTCTTTTCCTGCCATGGATATCACTGAGTCTGGCTCCGTTTCCTTACCTCCCCCTGCCATGAGTTTACATAAGATTCCTCTGAGCTGCCTTCTCTTCTCAAAGCTGAAAAGTCACTCTTTCAGATTGTCCTCTGATATCAGATGCTCCAGTCTTCTAATCATCCTATTACCCTTCACTGGACTTGATCTAGTTTGTCCGTGTCTCTGTGGAGGCAAGGGCCCCAGCACTGAGCTGTGTACTCCAGCTGTGGATGCCCCACCTCTCTCAACCCGCAGGCTACACTTCCTAACACAGCCCAGGTTGTTGTTGCCTGTCTTTGCCAGAATGGCATATTGCTGGCTCTTGTTCAGCTAGTTGTCTATTAGAACACCATGTTCCTTTCTGACAAGCTGCTTTCCACACAGCTGATCTCCACCCAGCATGTGTTGCATGCAGGATGCCATTCCTCCCCAGGGGCAGGATTTTGCATTTAACTTTGCTGAACATCACAAGACCCTTCTCAGTCCACATCTCCAGCCTATCTAGGCTCTCTGAATGGCAGCACTTCCACCTGCTGTATCAGCCATTCCTCAGGGCTTTTTATTGCTCGCAGACATGCTGAGGATGTACTCTGTGTCACTGTCCAAGCCATTAATGAAGATGTTAAGCAGTATTGGCCCCTGTATCAGCTCCAGGGCTATTTCACTATTGACTGGCCCACTTCCAGCTGGACTTTATGCTGCTGATCACAGCCCTTTTGTCCTCTTCATTTCATAGTGTTTATCTAACAGAAGGGATCTGTACCAACAGAGAGTTTGCTACATTTGCTTTCCAGATCAGGGGAGACTGGAAATCTCACAGATGTGGGATTTTTCACTGTCAGAAAAGGTTGCATTTGCCTGTCGGTCTATGGTAGCATTTAACCAGGGAAGGACATCATGTAGCGAGGTGACTTGCAATATGCAAAGAGTCACTAGGGATGGATGACAGCACCCTAATAAATGCACATCATTGGAAAGTTAAGCATGTGAGACGGAAGCCAAAATAAGCAATGACTCTTCTAAAGATAGTGTGAAAAATATCATAATGGGCACTTGTGTCCTTTTGCTCGTGAAAGTTTAAGAGAAGAGGATTAGATCAAGACCATCAAGTATCCAAAATAGAAGTTCCTTCTTAATTTCCAAGACAGATCCCACTCTGTCCTAAACACTAGACTGGTTCTTACTTGAGACTGGGAATCATTCAGTTCTCTCATTCTAAAAACAGCAGTTTCAGGAAAGCTTCTATAACACTGGAGAGAAAAAAATTGGAAAAAAAAATGAGTAGAGAGCAGCAGCAGCCTTTTTTCCTCTGCAGTGTCAGCCAGCTCCTCATTCCTAATACAGTTAGAAGCCAGCTCCTACCCAAAGGCCAAGGAAAGCCTCACCCTGCTCCCACAGCTCACAGAGTGTCAAGACTCAGTGAGAGTCTCAGTCTGGACCTAGCCGGGGACTGGGATCTCCTTTGCATGCAAACACTACTCCATGTCCTCACTTTCTTGTGTTCAACTATCCAAATCCCCCAGTGTATTTTGAATAAGGATTTGTAGTTTGCTATTCGTCATTCTGCAGATTAGCCAGATCCTAAAGCATTTAGCCTTCAGGGCTAAATATAAAATCCTTTCCCTCTCGTGATCTGAGCTTATGAAGCAATACTGCATTATGACAACATTACTAAAAATGAAACAGCAGAGGTAATTTTACAGAGAACATCAGATTGTGTACAGGAAATACAGAATCATCCCGTGCTGCTGCACAATAAATGAGAAAGGCTGTGGAATACTGAGGTGTTATTCTCTGCCTTCGTGGGAGAAAGAAAATCTTCCAACTGCTTTGGAAACCTGAGCTCCAAGTTTTCTTTCTGTTTTCAAGCTTTCTACTGACATTCTCTGTCTTCTACTCAAAATATTGTTGTAAGCAAAATTCTAAAAAACAAAAATGTTTTGGAATCACTGGTATTTTTGTAGAAATTCACACAAACAACCAGGATTTTAGTTATAGTCTTATGCCAGAAAACATGCTCTGCAAATAAGATATGCTTATTAGAGTTAATAATCGTCACATAATGAACTAACAAGGTACATTTATACAAGTGTCACTATTGCCTAAACAACAATTCAAGATAATAAAAAAAAAAGAAAGTTATTTAAGATGTACCTGGATTAGTGCAAAGCATTTGACATTGTCCCAAGTGACATTCTTGTTGCCAAATTGGAGAAAAATGGATTTGATGGATGGACCACTTTCAGGATAAGGAATTGTCTGGATGGTTGCATTCAGAGAGTTGTGTCAATGGCTCAGTGTCCAAGTGGAGCTGGGTGATGAGTTGTATTCCTAAGGAATCAGAATTGGGTCCGGTGTTATTTAACATCTTTGCTTTCAACTTGGACAGTGGGATTGGGTGCACCCTCATCAAGTTTGCAGATGACATCAAGCTGAGTGGTGCAGTTGACACACTAGAGGGAAAGGACGCCATCCAAAGGAACCTGGACAGGCTTGAGAGGTGGGCCCATGCCAAGCTCATGAATTTCAACAAGGCCAGCTGCAAGGTCCCACATCCAGGTCAAGGCAATCTCAAGCACTGATACAGGCTGGGCAGAGTATGGCTTGAGAGCAGCTCTGAGGAGAGGGATTTGAGAGTGGTGATTGATGAAAGATTCAACATAAGCCAGCAAGGTGCGCTTGCAGCCCAGAATGCCAACCTTATCCTGGGTTACAGCAGGAGAAACATGACCAGCGGGTTGAGGGAGGTGATTCTGCCCCCTACTCTGTTCTCATGAAACCCTACCTGGAGTGCTGCTTCCAGTTATGTAGCCCCCCTAACAACAAGAAGGACATTGAGCTGTTGGAGCATGTCCAGAGGAGGGCCATGAAGATGATCAGGGTGCTGGAGCACCTCCCCTGTGAGAACAAGCTGAGAGAGCTGGGTTTCTTGAGCCTGGAGAAGAGAAGGCTCCAAGGAGACCTTACAGCTGCCTTCCACTACTATGGATAAGGGTTAGGGGGGCGTACAGGAAGGCTAGGGAGGGATTTTCTGTAAGGGCATGTAGTGACGGGACAAGGGGAAATGGCTTTAAACTAGAAGAGAGTAGATTTAGATTAGATATTAGGAAGAAATTCTTTACTGAGAGGGTGGTAAGACACTGGAACAGGTTGCCCAGCAAAGTTGTCAATACCCCCTCCCTGGAAGCATTCAATGCCAGGCTGGATGGGGCTTTAACCAACCTGATTTAGAGGGAAGTGTCCCTGCCTGTAGCAGGGGGGTTGGAACTAGGTGACCTTAAATGTCCCTTCCAACTCAAACCATCCTATGATTTCATGATTCTATGATTCTATTTTCAAATAGATTGTTTCTTTTTTGTTAACATAAATGACCTATTTGATCCTGGATCTTTCCAAATATCTATTTCAGAGCCAAAATTTTAGTCACCCTTCGTCCAGCCCTAAAAATATTACTATTCCAGTCACAGACTTTATTCAGGCAAATGGCTCCAGCAATGAAGTCTGAGTATAAACATTTGTGTTTTTCTACTAGTTTCATTGCAGTAGATATGTGCTAAAAGTATGCAACAAAACCAGTGCAGGGGGGAGGGGGGAGGAAGGAGGGAGGGCGGGAAGAAAAAAAAAAAAAGCAACCAGGGAACTGGAAAGATAAAACAAGCAAAAATTAGAAAGAGAACTGAAACTTGTAAGAAACAAATAAAAAGAAGAAACATCTCCTAGAAAAGGAAGGACAATGAAAAAAAAAAAAGAGATGTTTTAACCTCCAAGTAAATACATCTTAAAATTCAAGTTAGTAGGACAATATTAGCAATGGACTTCAGTGACTTTAAGCCATAAGCTCCTATACTGCAGATGTTCCCAGGGCTGAAGACTTATTTCAAATATCTTTGTGAGTAGCCTTGACATGATCTGACATCTCTTATACTGCACCCAAACACCCTTCCTACCTCATCACACACCTCTCCCAAGGACCGTGGACAACACCCTTAACAGCAGTTACACATTGCTCACACAATGCCAGAACCATTTTCCAAGCAAATATAGAAATATTTCAAGAGAACCCTCTGTTGCTCTCACTTCTTCATGTGGCAAGAAAGGTCTGAAACCATTGTGAGGTTATTACTTGTTGAGCAAAAAAAAAAAAGGAAGATCTATTTCTGCAGGTCATTTAACAATGTTATCTGAGGATTAGTAGCTACTTTTATATTTCATTATTTGAAATTTCTTCTTTCCCAAGTTAACAGCAAAGCATTCCATGAAACATCTTTCTCCCTAGAGAGGGTCAGCATGTTTCACTGTTTGTAAATGGAAAAAGTCAAAGAGCATCCCTTCTTTTGGATAGCACATAATCCTTCAGCAGTGCCTTCCTGACAGTGCTATTCTGGTCTCTGCAACTTACAACAACTACTCCAGAGTCTCTTCTGAGTGAAAACGGCTTCCTGAATTAGTAGCTCTCATTCCTGGGTAACTGACTGCCTTCTGAACACAAATAACTACTAGTGCTTTTGCTCTGTATAACTTCAGGAATTGTAGTGACTCGACTAAATGGTTCTGTATCTCAGGGACTCCAGTGCTGTGTTCAGTAGCCTGTGTTTCAATACTATGTGTTTCAATAATAATACTTCTCATGATATGTATTATTTCAAGATCATCAGTGACCTAGTCCTGAAATTCCTATAGCATATCCTAAGCCATACTATTCTGAGTATAATACATAGAACGAGGAGGGCAGTATGGATGTTTAGATGTTGTTTTTCCCTTCACTGAAGGAAGATGGGTTCATGATGTCTACCTAGTGCATGGGGGTAAAATTAAGATAAAGCTTTCACCCTATTTAACCCTACCATTATGGGCTTATCAAGTTCATAAAGCTTTCCAGAGATTTTTTACACAGATGTAAACACTGAATACCTGAACATAGGGAAATAACTGCATTTTGCTTTCATGCCAAAACGGCAATGAATACAAAGTATTCTACTGTGTGTCACACAGCATATGGTCTTGTATCTTGTGTTTACCCCTGACTCATGCAAATTCAATATAAACAAAAGCGAAGTGATGTTTTTTTTTCTCTAAGGGGAACTAAGCCGTTTTTTGAACTTCTGAACATGAATGAACCTTGAATATGGTCAGTGAATTAAATTAAATTGCCAAGAGCCAGGCAAGCCACATACAATGTTGCCCGCCAGGGAATCAAAATTTGAATTGTGCTGAAAATAGTCTGAAATGGAAAAACATCTTCCAAAGCATTAAATCCTCTCTGTGAAGATTCTGCTTTTCCACAAATGAATAGCTGATGAGTCTTGATAAATAAATAACAAATGTTGACATGATCATATGGCACATAGTACAAGGGAAGATGGTAAGAACTTCAGTCTCTTTTACAATGTACAAGGAATGCTCCAAAAGTAATTCCTATCTTATTATGTTGGCCCATGACATCAGAGGCCGATGTTGGTGGAACTTTCCAACCAGTATTCCATTCTATTCTGTTGCCAAGTGACTGATGGCAACAGAACAGCATTTGACATGGCATCTGACATGGAAGTGCCATTGAATTCCTCTATGTAGAAAAAATGGCAGCCACTGACACTGACATTTGCTGAACATTTAGAGAGTCCAAACAGTGGATGTGAGCACAGTGAGGTGGTGGGTGATGCATTTCACCAGTGACAACAGCAGTGTGAAAGGCCACATTCCTGACAGCCATCTTGATCAGCTCATCCACACAAAGCAGCAGATTGCAACTAGGGAACTGTATGTAGAGCTGAATATCTGCTTCAGTGCATTGGAAATGATGGTGGCAATGCTAGAATATCACAAAGTTTGCATGTGGTAGGTCAGACCAATGCTCACACAGGAGCACAAAGAACACTGCATGCAAGTTTGCCAGTACATATTGAACAAATACAAGGCTGAAGGTGACAGTTTCATAGATCACATCATTATCAGTGATGTGATGTTGTGTCACCACTACAAGCCAGACTGAAAATAGCAGTCAAAGGAGTGAGAAGATATGAATACCCCATTGAAAAGAAAGACACAGGCCTCAGCATGTAAAGAGATATGCCCTGCCTTTTGGGCTAGGAAAGGGCTGGGCCTTCTGGATTTCCTGGAAAATTCGGACAAACATCAACTCTGATTGCTACATCATGAAGCTGACTGAGCTGAAGGCTTGAACTTTCAGAATTAAGCCAAAGAAGACAACCTTTCTTTGCGAGACAATAATGCCAGGCCCCATACCAGCATGAAGACTGTGGATCACATTTCCAGTCTTGGCTGAACTGTCTTACCACACCTACTGCATAGTCCAGATTTGGTGCCTTCTGACCTCCATTTTTTTAGACCAATGAAAAATGGCTACATGTGCAGCATTGTCCTAGCAACTATGAGATTGCAGCAGTTGTGAAACAGTTGGCACCTCCACTGGTGTTGCTTTTTACAAGCACTCCACGCAAGCTGCTTTTCATCTGAGGCGAAAATGCATAGCTAATGGTGGTTACTATGTTGAAAAAGAGTGTTTTGAAGCTAAAAACTTGCTCTATCAAATAGCACTATTGTGCTGTTTATATCCATTGTAGTTTACATGGAAATAAATAGGAGGTATTACTTTCAGGGTGACCTAGGTGCACAGTGCAAAAATTCATAGATGCAAAATGCCCACTGTAGATGTGTCTTCAATTGAGTAAATTTCTGACTTTTAAACTATATACTTGATAAATCTACAGGCACAAAAGTGCTTGCATGACAAGACTTTTGTGCTTCCTCTTTACTGAGGCGTGGAAGGTTCAGAGTTTCTGTTTGAAATTTCACAGTGTATTTTTTGACTTGAGCACAGACTGCATCCTGTTAGCTGTGCTACTGCTGCTTACCTAGCCAATTAGTTTCATTTTTTCCTGTTGACTTTGGTGGTTTAGGGCTGTTTGTTTTTTTTTCATTTGTTTGTCTTAAATGTTCTATCTAAAATATTTTCATATTCCTTTGCTGAATTTTATTATCTGAATTTCTTGCCATTTCTCCAATTTATCCAGGCAGTTTTACACTGTAAACCTGTTCTCACCTCAAGTGCCTTTTTCAACAGGTCTAAAGGATGCATCTTTTTCTTATTCTGAAAACGTGTGGCAAAGTCAGTGTTTCTTCCTTGTTAAAATTACATAATTTCTCGCTTCTCCTGCATCCTCTGTGCCAGTGTCCCAATGAGTCTTTACAACATTTCTTGATCAACAGTGAGAAGTTTGACTTCATATGTTTAAAGACTTACTTCTGAGAAACATTTAGCATGGAAAGTTTTTAGGTAGAAAAGTAACTTATCTGTAATCTCTTATGTCCTGTTTTTTGTCTTTTTAGTTTACAGCACACAAGACACTCCATCCATTATTCTGTCTATAAGTTCCTCAAGTGTATTAAAGGTTTAATTTGCTTAGGGGGAATTTTAAGATTAAAATTAACTTGTAAGGTCCATCTTACTGTAAGTGCATTGACTTTAGTAGTTACCCATTTCAAACCAATTGATGAAGTGGCCTGTAATTTCTAATAAAAATTAGTTCATTTAAACCTCTTTTAAAACATTTTAAATCATTATTAACTTCAGAAGTTTCTCTGGAATTACACAAGATTCCTATAAAACTTTTGTAGAATCTCCTTCTACTTGCATTAGGCAAATTATCTTTATGAAGAAGGCTGAAAAAGTCATTTTTTGCTTAATAGTGAAATTCTTTCTGCATGTTAAGAATCAGGACACAAATGTGATACCAATCACAGAATGGCTTTGAATACCTGACCGCAATCTGTGGCTTATTTCAAAGGATAAAGCCACCAAAAAAGATAGAGAAACAAAGTAACTTCCTGGAAGCTGCTATGAGTATTAGGATGAAACAAAAAATAGAACATCTCACATGTAAACATTAATAGCCTCTTGTATGACAGATGAAGATGGAAGGAAATTGCTGATGGATTGAGACAGTGATCAGAAAAATACTAATGTGAAGAATAGCAAGGAAGAAACTGTAGCCAAAATAGGGATGGTGTTAACTCCTGTTGGAAACTCATTACATGGTCAGAATGTAAAACAAAGAAGCAATGAATATTTAAATTAAACGCTTGAGAATAAAATAAAGTCAAATGTGGTGAAAAATAGGTCTATTATTAAGGTCTTGAACTCTCCTTTTAAAAACTTGTGAAATAAGTTAACAAGTTGCCTGAATGAAGGAGCTTGAGGACGTGAATTTAGAGAAGGCATAAAACTATATTAACTCCAAAACACAAAATTATTAGAGTGCTTGTTGTAAGGTGAAAGTTACACATGCTCTAAATCCACGTCTTCTTCCATGACTCCTGTAATACACAAAACACAAAATAGCTGTGGCTCTCATGTTTCAGTATGAGTCTTAAGTGTGCTGAGAGGCTGCTTTTGTGGCCTGTACACGCAGAGTATATATTTATTTGGTCCTACATTCATGACTGACTGTACCTAAGAAATCCACACAGCATCCCAAGTGTCCATTTCATACCCCTACAATTTTTTTCTACAATTTCTCTTGAAAAAATAAAGCATCCTCCCACAAAAGCTTTGTTAAAACTAATATATTACCATAAAACAGTTCTGTTTCAGGCAACCTGTTTTCTGAAGAAAAGTTATCTTGTCTCTCTGAACACAACAAATATCCTTCAAACAGTGGATGCCGTGTTTATCAAAAGTAAACATTAGAACTTTTTTGGTCTTATTGATAAGTAAATCTCCTGATACTAGAATTCTTTTTTTTTCAGCTGAAGATAAGGCCTGAAAGACCATAGGAATTTTTTACTCCATTTTTATCACTTCTTTCAAAAGCAGGTCTAAGTAAACACAAGAAAAAGCAAACCTAGCATTTGTAAAAATGTCCCACTTCTCACTTTCTGTGCTCTCTTTCTTTCTCTTTCTTTCTTTCTTTTTTTTTTTTCTTTTCTGTAGCTCATCTATCACCTCAGGGTGCTAAGAAGTTTAAATCCCTGCCTTCAAATTCCCTAAGGACTGGAGCAGTTGTTCTCCCACCAGTGCCACCCTCCAGATCTCAGAAAAGGGGACATTCTCACAATCATTTGCTATATTCTTTCTTGCCTAATCTATCAGGAGAGCCTCTGAAACCAAGCCGTGTCCTACCTGCAATCCCAAGCCAAAAGAGATCCAACCCTGCAGAACAGCTTGAAAAATTCCTCACCAACCCAGACACTGAAAATTAACTCACTGCATCGGCCTCGAACACATTAGCTGAAATATATCTCAACTTGTTACAAGATAAGCATATAGTAAAAACTCATTAATTTATGCTAATGATGCTCTTGTAAGCTGGAGTGTAAATGAACAACAGCAAAGAAAAGAAAGGACAGCACATAATAAAAGCTGCACACAAAAAATGTATTTATACAGGCATTCTCATTATAGTTTTCATTTCTGATGGGAATACTAAGTATTTAATGTGCTGTAAATCTATTTTGTGAATGGAATCCTTATAACATGCAATCTTGTTGCAGCACTGCACTGTTAAGCCATCCATTGAAAAATGGAAGAAAGAGTAAGATTTTCTGTGTGATTTACATTTCAGAATTAAAGAAACACAAATTGATGGGGATTCTCTACATTTTGCAAAGATGCTGATTCTGAAACTGTGTGCTCTCAAAATTAGCTTTTTAAGATTAAAACAATAATCTCAAAACAAAAGGAAGTTTTAACAAACTTTTTTTTGACTCTGTTTCTCACATATTTTCTACATTTCACGTTTGTGGGTTTTGTGACTTCTACAAGCCAAAAAAGTACAGTGAAACACAAATTCTTGTGGGATAGACAGGGCGATAGCACATTCTGTTCAAAACTGTACTTTGCACTGACAGATTGACACATCTTTCTTTTAATATTTAATGTTCCTCAGTTACAAAAATGCAGTTGTTCACCGTTGTTTTCTTGAAACAAAGATTGTATAGTACTGCCTTATTAGGCATCACTTTAGTGCTTTGATTCCCCAAACTGAAGGAAATCTAAATAGTCAGCTGTTTAGTTCAACAGCTATGGCAAGTGTCTTTGACTAAGCATTTCATAAGGCAATTTTCTCCTAAAGGCCAGCAAAGACACCAGCCTTCTTTTGCCTCAGAATTCTTATCTAAATATTGCTGCTATTACCCAGGACGCTTTTCCACTTCTGATTACGGAGGAGGTTGTTAGGACCAACCAAATACCACTGGGGAAAAATAGTGTGGGCTGCACAAGGGGGAGGGCAGTCCCTTTTTATCACCCATTCTGTATCACTGTTGCTAGTAAATCTGTCCTGTATCAAGATCTCCAACCAGAATGTGGTGTTTCTGTCTGTCTCTAGATAAACATTTTATTATCTGTGCAAATGTTTCTTTTGCTGTATCACTGTAAAAGACAAGCCTAGCATGAAAGAAGAGATAATCATGTCTCTATAGCTACAGTTTTCAAATGCCCTCAGGTAATGAGTGCAAGTAGAATGGCTGGTGGTTATCATGGGCAGTCCCAGAAAGCAAAAAGCACAACAGCTGCTATGAAGTAATAAAAAGAGAAAAGAGAACTTTTATACAAAAATAATATGATGTTTTATTTATTTCTAAACATCAAATTAAAGTAGCAAAGTGACGTATGCATCTAGCTTCTTGCTGAAATCCATAGGAGTAAAAAGCTTGTGTGTTTGTGCCTGACAGGCAACCTAATCCCCAAGGCTAGATGGAAAAAATACTGCATGACAAGAGCATGCCCTGTCAAAGGAAAAATCTGGTGTGTTTTCACATGACTAGCCTCAGTCCAACTTCACTGGAAAGTCCAGAGCTGCTCGTGCAGACTGGGGCCCGAACCTGAGCTGCACTCCTCTCCAGTGCCCCTAAATTTCTCTGCCTGGGAAGCTCATCAGCTGCTACCCCCAAACTCTCCATTCTGACTCCAGCCTCTTTACACATCCCCCTGGCACCTCACACGAGAGGCAAGTGGTACTTAAGTCACCTGGAATTGAAACTGGCAAAGGGATAAAGGATAATAAAAAAGGCTTTTTTAAGTATGTTAACAGTAAAAGGAAGACTAGGGAAAATGTGGCTCCCCTGCTAAGTGAGGGGGGTGTTCTGGTAACGGGGGATGCTGAGAAGGCGGAGATACTGAATGCCTTCTTTGCTTCTGTCTTCAGTGAAAAAGCTCCCCCTCGGGAATCCAAGACCCTGGAGGTTAGTGAAAGGGTCTGGGTAATGGAAGACTTCTCTTTAGTCAGGGAAGAGGTGGCCCGAGAGCACCTGGGCAACACCGGTGTTCACAAATCCATGAGACCTGATGGGATGCATCCACAGGTGCTGAGGGAACTGTCAGAGGTTGATTGCTGAACCGCTCTCTGTCATCTTTGAGAGGTCTTGGAGAACGGGAGAGGTGCCCAAGGACTGGAGGATAGCCAATGTCACTCCGGTCTTCAAAAAGGGCAAGAAGGAAGATCCAGGCAATTATAGGCCAGTCAGCCTCACCTCCGTCCCTGGAAAGGTGATGGAGCAGCTTGTGCTGGATGCCATCTCCAGACAACTGGAAGAAAAGGAGGTTATCAGGAGTAGTCAGCATGGGTTCACCAGGGGGAGGTCGTGCTTGACCAACCTGGTAGCCTTCTATGATGTTGTCACTGGCTGGGTGGATGGGGGGAAAGCAGTGGATGTAGTCTACCTTGATTTCAGCAAGGCATTTGATACTGTCTCCCACAACATCCTTATAACGAAGCTGAGGAAGTGCGGGATAGATGAGTGGACAGTGAGGTGGGTTGAGAACTGGCTGACTGGCAGAGCACAGAGGGTTGTTGTTGGCGGTGCAGAGTCTGGTTGGAGGCCTGTAGCCAGCAGTGTTCCTCAGGGGTCGGTGCTGGGTCCAGTCTTGTTCAACATCTGCATCAGTGACCTTGATGAGGGGATAGTGGCCACCCTCAGCAAGTTTGCTGATGATACGAAGTTGAGAGGATTGGCTGACACGCCTGAAGGCTGTGCTGCCATTCAGCGAGACCTGGACAGGCTGGAGAGCTGGGCAGAAAGAAACCGGATGAGGTTTAACAGAAGCAAGTGTAGAGTCTTGCATCTGGGGAGGAATAATTGCATGCACCGGTACAGGTTGGGGGATGACCTGCTGGAGAGGAGCTCTGCGGAGAGGGACCTGGGTGTCCTGGTGGACGACAGGTTGGCCATGAGCCAGCAGTGTGCCCTTGTGGCCAAGAGGGCCAATGGCATTCGGGGGTGCATTAAAAAGAGCGTGGCCAGCAGGTCGAGGGAGGTGATCCTCCCCCTCTACTCTGCCCTGGTAAGGCCTCATCTGGAGTACTGTGTCCAGTTCTGGGCTCCCCAATACAAAAAAGACAGGGATATCTTGGAAAGAGTCCAGTGGAGGGCCACAGAGATGGTGAAGGGCCTGGAGCGTCTCTCCTATGAGGAAAGGCTGAGTGAGCTGGGTCTGTTTAGCCTTGAGAAGAGAAGACTGAGAGGAGACCTGATCCAGGTCTATAAATATCTAAGGTGTGGGGGGCAGAGTGGCGAGGCCGGACTGTTTTCAGCAGTATGTGGAGACAGGACAAGGGGAAATGGCCGAAAACTGGAGCATATGAAGTTCTGCACCAATGTGCGCAAGAACTTCTTTACGGTGAGGGTGACGCAGCACTGGAACAGGCTGCCCAGGGAGGTTGTGGAGTCTCCTTCTCTGGAGATATTCAAGACCCGCCCCGTGTGTGACCTGGTGTAGGGAGCCTGCTTTGGCAGGGGGGTTGGACTCGATGATCTCTGGAGGTCCCTTCCAACCCCTACGATTCTGTGATTCTGTGAAATTTCAGTGCAAGTCTTAGGGCACTGTCAAAGCTGAAAAATCAGTGGCACAGAGCAGATGGTTTTGGTGAAGACTGAAACAATAAGAAGACTGTTCACGCAGCAGTGAATGACAGCAAGTAACCTCTGTATTAATCCTAAATATCACTGTAGGTAATACACACGTTATTGTTAATGCAACATGTGTGGACAAACCTGAATAAGGAACTATTTTTGATCAAGGTTAACACTATCTTCCAAAAGAAATTCCTTAAAAAATGCAGAACTTCAGATGCAATCACTTGAAGCAAGAAACACAGTAGCACTGCCTCCTATCTACACAATCAACTTGTGTGAACAGATAGTAAGAGACATCTGCTAGCTGTTTTTTTTTTTTTTTTTCTATCATATCCCACTTGTTTTCTGGAAAGAAGTAACGTGTTCCTCTGGGTCATTAACACACAAAATAAACTTTTTTTTCAGGAAAGGACTGAAAAATTAATTGCCTGTAGACTGCAGTATTTCCCTGAACAATCTTAAATATGTAGTAATCAGAACCAAGATCCAAGTCACTTTTCTAAAGCATTTCTTCTCCAAAGCATTAGTAAAGTGGTGGTTCACAGTTTACCAAATATAGATCTTTTTAAAAAATAATGCTTTATGAAAGCACTGAAAGTTATTTTCTCCAAAATGTTCTCACCATAAGCTATGTTCGTCTTTGTGCTTGGGTAACCAAATTCCAAGTTCCATGGTAAATAAACTTGTCAAACAGTGTTAAGTCTTTCACCTTCAGAGGAATGTGAAGTGTTCACTGCAGTACACTGCACAGAAGATAACAAATGAACCAATACCTACTTAAGCTATATTAACCTCTTGCTCTTTTCCTGAACAATTATGGCAGGATAGATAAAAAGAAGATTAAGACAGCTGATCAGCAATTACCAAGAAATGTCTGGTCAGTGGGTAATTACAGAGATGTCTTCCCTGGGGATTTAACATCTCTAACACACTCTCTTGTGGCACTAGTTGAATGTTAATTCATAGTGTTGCAGTATTCAATTGTCTGGGGAGTTTGGCTTGGCACAGAGAGTTATGAAAATAAATATACACACAGCATAAATTTTCTGACCAAAACATAATACACTTCCTTACTGGAACATGTTGTACCTACCACGTATCATTAATATGAGTAAAATTTGAATGCTTTTTGAAAACAGCATTGACATTATTCCAGTGGACAGTTTACGTATAGATTAATAATGAATGCAGTGTTGCACCCTTCCAAAAAATTGTGAAGGAGGTTTACACTGTTCCATTATTTCAAAATAAAGGTAAAACAAAAAGATGTACAATATTATGGGGATCTTTCAAATCTGTTCTACCAATGAACAGGATTTGTGATAAAAAGGCCAATCTTTCAGTATAAGTACCTAAAGCATAAGCTATATCATCTAAATCTCAGTTCTAATAAGGTATTTTAAAAACCTCTACTGCCACAAATGGAGATCTGTACTCATTTATCATCACCAAGGGTAAATCTGCATAATCTATATATTTTCTACTGCAAAGCATCAAAAGCATCATTACCACTTTCAAGCAAAAAAAAAGAATAG